TTCTCCTCATATGGTGGACAATTGTATTTTTTGACTACCCTATTTTCTTCTCTCTATACTTTTTTCTTGCCTCACGCTAGCTACCCATTTTTATGCCCTACCCACGAGCCCTACAAGGCAGATAATGGATCACATCTATTCAGGACGAGCAACTACCCTATATCGGACAGTGGACCAGCCTTAAAGCACCAGTACATGGCTAGCTGGGCTGCGGGCCTGACACCTTGAAATCTGGAAGCGCGAAACGAAAACACGACCACCGATCCAATATATCAACGGCAGGCCCAGCGTTTGGCATTTTGGCCTCGTTTTCTTGTGGCAACCTGTCCTAGGAAGATTATCATGACCGGCCGGTCTGGACTGGGCGGTAACCCGAGATGCTGCGGGGGGGCGGGCGGCGGGTCTGACGACCGGGATACCCGGCCATGAGGGAAAAAAAGAAAAAGAAAAAAAAAAAGGTGGTGGGGGTGTTCCGTGCTCTCGGAGAGGGAGCCCAAATCAGGGCTCTTTTCTTTTTTTGACTGTTGGCTTTGAAAGGGGGGCAAGGGGGGTGTAAGTTATTTGTAAAGGGGCTAAAGGGGTTTAAAGGGGGTGTGTTGGTGTGATTGGGTTATTTTACTTTTTATCTTCAGTTCCGCGGGGAATTCTGATGTGACCCTTAGCCAGAAGTTGTTTGTATTGCAATTCTCAACAACATATATTTTTTTTCCCAGATTTCTTTGGATGTCTTTTTTTTTTTTTTTTTTTTTTTTTTTTTTTTTTTTTTTTTTTGGCTCTGGGGCTGCCCGGGACACTGCCTGGGGGTCGTGCCCGGCCGGTTACCCGGGTGTGTTTCCGGGCACAACTTGGGTGCCCGGGCACCTGGGAAAGATTTGGCAGGTAATTGAATTGGTTGGGTTTAAAAAAGTAGATGCGGAGCCAGGGCCAGGCGATTTGGCGGCAAATGCTTTTCCTAGTTTCGAAAGGTCGTCTGATGTGATGTTCTACAACCCAGTCATGCAGCCAATGGCCCAATCCTTGTTTATCTGCAAACGAATGCCGGAGCATGATCTTCCCGTATGAATAGCAAGATTCATCCTGTGTGTTTGTTCGTTGAAGTGTCGTTGTGCATGCAGCCTCTTGTCATCCATCACAGTGAAGCTGAACGATGTCATGGGGACCTTTCCATGTTCTTCTTGCACAGAGGGCATGCTCTTTTTTTTTTAATGGGTCCAGGGTGTAGTATAGGGTGGTGGCCGGGCCTTAGGAGGTGCCCGTAGTACTCATACATTGGGAGGGGTCAGATGGATTGCGAAGGGACCCAGGGGGAGTCACCTAGGGTGGCACTATGGTATCATGACCTATGCTAATGCTCACAGGCCATGCTGCCCCCACCCCCCACCCCCCGCCGCCGGCCCTTTTTCTTTTGCCCCCCCCCTCGGCCCCCTCCCACACAAGCCATGCTAACCTGCCCTATATCGTCCCAATATTAAGGGATGTCCAGAAGGACTACCCAGATGAATTTGTAATCATTGCCACTCTGTTTATTCAGATCTCACATGGATCACCCAGCTGTTTGTGGCTGAATGCATGTAGCTGTTGAAATGCAGATCATGAGTTCAAAATTCAAATGCTAATTTTTTTTTTTTTGAAGGGAAACTGCCTTGAGATATCATCTTTGGACTGACCAGCCGCAGGTAAATTCGTAGTGTTTTTTTTTTTTTT